GCAATATTTTGTTCGGAATAATAACTGAAATGTATTCACAGAGGCTGCTGACTAGCTGATATAGCAATAAGATACAGCATATCAAATCTACATGATCAAATCTCTTTAGGGGTCTAAAATGGGTAAACAAATTTCATAATATTGTTATAAATTCATAAAATCCTGCTAAAAAAAACTATTAAACAACTTACTGATGCATTTTATTTTACTTTAGATTTTTTCAGTACCTTTTAAAGGGATATGAAAGTAAAGAAATAATTTTTAAAAATTAAATGCAGTTAAATAGAGAACAGAAAATATCAAGTGTGATCATCATGAGAGTGATCATATTTCGTGTGTGGTTGTTGTGGCATCTTAAAAAATTGCCCAAAAGAAAGCCCACATGATCATCAACAACCTTTCAATACTATTTTGTAACATATGACTAAACAATTTAGGAAGTTCAAACCCAAAACCCTTAATAGGGCCTTGAAAAATCTCCAAATCCACATGATGATTAATAACAACATTCTCTCATCATCTATATATAGATTATTACAGAATTCATCAAAACAATTAGCAAACCTCACAGTTTAAACCAACCTGCTAGATGATCAAACTGGGTGTTTAATCCTAAATCATGATCAAAACCCAACATAAAGATTAATATAAAAATAATAACTTAAAATAGCTTTACCAGATGATGAAACACCTACAAACCAAACACGCTAAAGCCACATGAGGACCAATTTAGCACTTGTATTTGTAACGGATGTATTGGTGTCACTGACTTTGTAAAACAAGTGCGAGTATGGTCACTTTTTGTTTATATGCTTAATTTATATGCTGCATAAGTATATAATATATTTGTTTAAGGGTGCGTTCACATCTGTAGTTCGCTTCATTTGGTCCGGACCAAGGGTAATAAATGATACATTGTTGCATCTTCTGCCGTCTTTGGGTCGTTTTCACACCACACTGCTGGCTTTGGTCGGAACCAGTTGGAACGAACCAAAATGCAGTCATCTGACAAAATCCACATCTCTCATTGGCCAGATGTTGTTGAACATATTTCCTAATCTGCTTATTGATTGGTCAGAATTCACGTGCGGGAAAATGCCAATGAACTCCCGCAGGTAAACAAAACATTTAACTCTGGAGGGACGACTGCGCTGATTGTATCCCTGCTTTAGACAAACTATACATTACGAAAATGAAGCGCGGCCGCGGCTGGAAAACAGTGTTTAATGCATCATTCGTCACTTCAGGAGGAGCCGTGAATTAATTTAGCTAAACTGCGACATGATCATCTTGCGGAAATATTACCAACGATCCATCAGGTAATGTTTTCCCCTCTCTCTGTTAGTAAAGCGCTGTCAACAAATATTTTTCCTCCATATCCCATAATGCACTGCGCATCGGCCTACGGCAGCTGAATTAGTCCAGAACGCGCAGTACTTTTTGCGGTTGGACCTGTTTTAGTACGGATCATATTCTCACCACAAACGAACCGCTCCAGGGTTCGTTTAAAAGCGTACCGAGATCACCTCTTCAAGCAGGTATGCTTATTTGGTCCGCTTTTGGTGCGCACTCGAGTACGATTGCTGCATTCTCACCTGCCCAAACGAACCGCACCAAAAGGGGAAACGAACTCTAGTGCGATTCAACCGAACTAAATAAGGCAGGTGTGAAAGCACCCTAAAGGTGGGAGAAGGGTGTGTATTGTAAATTCTGTACTAGTTCTTATTTGTATTTTAATATTTGATTATTATTCAAATAATCATATAATTGTTCAATAAAATATATTTAAAATTGAATAAATGAATAAATAAAAATAAATTAATACATAAATAAATGGCTCCAAACCTCATATAAACTTGCTGTTTAGGTCTCATAAAACCCAAATCTAATCAAATAAAAAGACTTAATGAATCTGGAACCCACTTTGACAGATTTCTGACAGATGTTCTGAGTTTCCAGTCTCCCATTTGATCCTAAATGTAACACAACCTTCACCTTAAAGTTAAACAGTTAATCTTAACATATATTTGCTCCATAAATTGGATATAATTGTTTAAAGAGGGGATATGTGTGTGTACTTTAAATTATTATTATTACTGCATTAATATTTGAAAAGTTGTATAAATGTAAAATAATAAAACCAAAACAAACAAACAAACAAACATACACGTCTTTGAACCTGTCAAACTCACAAACCTGCTTAACAAGTCCATGAGTCAGTCTCATAAAAACTGAATATAAAAAAAGATTAAATTAATCCCAATTTGACAGGTTTATGAGAGATGTTCTGCGTTTCCAGTCTTCCATTTGATCCTATGTTTTTAACGTACCCTTCACCTAAAAGTTACACAGTGGATAATTGGCTTGTCATATATGTTTGTTTTCAAGAAGGAGAGGGGTGTGTTGTAAATGTTCGGTATAGTTCTTATTTTTATTATTATTGCACTAATATTTCACAAATATAATATAAAATGTCAAATAAATAAAACTAAACAAGCAAAAAAGAAAGCCTCAAGTCAGAGCCTGTGGTCTAGTGGTAAGTGCGTCCACACTCACGGCAACCCGAATTTGATTCCCATCTCGCATCCCGATACTTCCCCTCTCTCTGCTCCTCATGCTTTCCTGTCAATACACTATACTGCCCTGTCTATTAAAGGTGAAAACAACTAAAAATATTTATTAAAAAAATAAAAAGCCTCAAAACCTCATATAAACCTGCTGAACAAGAGCACGTTGGGGTCTGATAAAACTTAAATCTAGAGCTTAATTTGACCGTTTTTTTTGACAGATTTTTGACATTCTGAGTTTCCAGTCTCTCATTTGATACTAAGATTTTAACATGACTTTCGCCTAGAAGTTCTACAGTTGTTCTTTATATATATGCTCCAAAAGTTGTATGTATAAGAGCCGAGAAGTGTTGTAAATTAAGTTATTCTAATTAAGTTATTCTAATATATATATATATATATATATATATATATATATATATATATATATATATATATATATATATATATATATATATATATATATACACACACTCACACACACACACACACACACACACATATATATATATATATATATATATATATATATATATATATATATATATATATATATATATATATAAAATTAAGTTGTAGAAATTTGTTTAAGGTGGAAGAAGGGTGTGTAATGTAAATTATGTTATTCTGAACTAGTTTCCATTTTATTATAACAGCAATAATATTTGAAATTCAAATAATTGTAAAATAAATAAACCAAAACAAACACCTTCAAACCTGTGAAACTCATATAAACCTGCTGAACAAAGCCATGTTTGGGTCTTATAAAACTTAAATCCGGAGCTCAATTTAACAGATTTTTGAAAGATGTTCTGAGTTTCCTGTCTCCCATTTCAGGGCAGGTTATTACCACGACCTTCACCATAAAGTTCTACAGTTGTTCTTATTATATATTGTCGATAAGTTGTATATATTTGTTTTTAAAGAGGGAGAAGGGTGTGTATTGACAATTATGTTATTCTGAACTACAGTTCTTATTTTATTATAACAGCATCAATATTTGAAAAATCTAATAAATGTTAATAAATAAACCAAAAAAACACCTCATATAAACCTGCTGAACAAGAGCACTTGTTTGGGTCTTATAAAGGTTAAATCTAGAGCTCAGTTTGACCAATTTTTTGACAGATATTTTGAGTTTAAAGTGTCTCATTTGATACTAAGATTTTAACACAACCTTCACCTAAAAGTTCTACAGTTGTTTTTAATATAATCTTTCAAGTTGTATGTATTTGTTTTTAAAGGAGGGAGAAGGGCGTGTGTATTGTAAATCATATTATTCTGACCTAGTTCCTATTTTATTATAAAGGCATTATTATTCGAAAAGTCAAATAAATGTAAATAAATAAATCAAGCAAAAAATGGCTCCAAACCTGTGAAACTCCTTAACCTGCTGAACAAGAGCCTATATCAAACTTGAATCTGTAGCTCTACTTGAGAGATTTTTTTAAAGATTTTTTACAGATGTTACGAGTTTCCAGTCTCCTGTTACATCCCAAGTTATTACCATAATCTTCACCTAAAAGTTCTACAGTTGTTCTTAATATATACCATCGATAAGTTGTATATATTTGTTTTTTAAGGGGGAAAAGGGTATTGACAATTATGTTATTCGGAACTAGTTCCTATTTTATTTTAACAGCATTAATATTTGAAAATCAAATAAATGGTAATAAATAAACCAAAACAAACCGAAAAACACCTCAAAACCTGAAATAAACTTGCTGAACAGGAGCACATGTTTGGGTCTTATAAAGCTTAAATCTAGAGCTCAGTTTGACCAATTATTTGACAGATATTCTGAGTTTCCAGTGTCTCATTTGATACTAAGATTTTAACACAACCTTCACCTAAAAGTTCAAGTTGTTCTTAATATAAGCCTTATAAAACATAATAAGTTGTATGTATTTGTTTTTAAAGGGGTGGAGGGTGTGTATTGTTATTGAGAACTAGTTCCCATTTTATAATAACGGCATTAACATTTGAAAAATCTATTAAATGTTAATAAATAAACCAAAAAACACCTTAAAACCTGTTAAACTCATATAAACCTGCGGAACAAGAGCCCATGTTTGGGTCTTATAAAACTTAAATCTGGAGCTCAATTTGACAGATTTTTTGACAGATTTTTGACAGATGTTCTGAGTTTCCAGTCTATTTGATCCTAAGTTATTACCACAACCTTCGTCATAAAGTTACACAGTTTATCTTAACTTTAAACCAAACTCAGGCCTGAATATGAAGTGTTTACATTTATTGGACCCGACTGACTGATCATGAGTTCAGACGCCGCACACACCCGTGTGTTTACACCACTCAAACACACTGTAAACTACTGAAAACTCGAACACCAAGACTTAAACTTAGCTTTTGGGGTCAGTTAACGGTTAAAGGGGACGCAATAGTAATAGATATTGTCGGAAAAAACGTTACCGGCCCGGGTGGTGTCGGTCAGGTCGTGTCCGGCGGCGCTCCTCGGGAACTCCTTCAATTTCCTGCCGCTCAGGTTGAGCCCTCCGGTGGCCGCCGCCTCGTCCAGCGCCCGGTCCAGCGAGCGGTTCCAGGACGCGGGTCCAGGGGCATTTGATAATCCGTGATGGGTAGTTCCTCCCGCCGCAATAGCTCCTGCGGGATGGCCGACAGTAAAAGAGGGCACGGCGCTTTCCGCGGAGAGCAACACCGAAGCCGCCATTACACAGCTAACACTCCCGCTGGATCCTCACGGGCCCCACACGAGCGCGGAGAGTGGGGGACTGCGCATGCGCGGGCGCACAGAGGGCAGATAGCGGTATGGGTTGTTACTAGAAGGGATACAGCCGCGGCCGGAAGTTACAATAATTATTTATAAAATTTAAATGTAATTTTAAAGGTAATAGTAGTGTTAAAAACCTAGGATCAAATGGGGGTACTAATAGATCAGTGACCGGTATGGGTTTTTGCTAGGAGAGAAACAGCTAAAACTAAATAAATACATAAATAAAATAAATGAGTAAATAAATTCATAAATTCCTGCATAAATAAAATAATACATAAATAAAATCAATAAATATGCAAATATATAAATAAATGAGTAAATAAAACCGTAAATTCCTGCATATATATAATAAATAAAAATGCTAATATATAAATAAATGAGTAATAAATACCATAAATTCCAGCATTAATAAAATAATTATTTATTAAATAAATATGCAAATATATAAATAAATGAGTAAATAAATCCATACATTCCTGCATAAATTAAAAAAAATAAATAAAAATGCTATCTATATATATATATATATATATATATATATATATATATATATATATATATATATATATATATATATGAAATGATGTGTTTGAGACATTCTTCTAGAAACTTACATTATCTGTCACTGTAATAAAAGCATAAATGCAGTGAATAAAAAGTATGTCATCCCGTAAATTTCTAAAACGGACTGATGGTTGGAGTATGTCATTCAATTCGTTCTCAGATTAATATTATATATAATATAATATAATTAATATAATAATTGATATATTATAATATAAATCATATTAATGTCTAATGTAATAATAGCCATATAAGAAAACGGATTAAATGATAAATAAATATAAAAACATGATTTGATTTTAAAATATTTAAAGGAATGTATATGGAAGACGAAACCAGCAAAAACAATAGATAAATAAATACTCAAATAAATAAATAAATGAGTAAAGAAATCCATAAATTCCTGCATAAATAAAACAAATAAATAAACAATTTATTTGTTTATTATTTTATTTATGCAGGAATTTACGGCTTTATTTACTTGTTTATTCATATATTTGCATTTTTATTTATTTATTATTTTATTTATGCAGGAATTTATGGCTTTATTCACTTGTTTATTTGTATATTTGCATTTTTATTTATTTATTAGTTTATCTATGCAGGAATTTATGGACTTATTTACTCATTTATTTATATATTTATTTATGCAGGAATTTATGTATTTATTTACTAATTTATTATTTTGCATATTATTTTATTTATGCAGGAATTTAATGGATTTATTTACTCATTTGTTTATATATTTGCATGTTTTTTTATCATTTTATCTATGCATGAATTTATGGATTTATTTACACAATTCTTAATTTGATATTTATTATTTTATTTATGCAGGAATTTTACGGCTTCATTTACTTGTTTATTTATATATTTGCATTTAATTTATTTATATATTTATTTATGCAGGAATTTATGGCTTTATTCACTTGTTTATTTATATATTTGCATTTTTATTTATTTATTATTTTATCTATGCAGGAATTTATGGATTTATTTACTCATTTATTGATTTGCATATTTTTTTATTTATGCATGAATTTATGGATTTATTTACTCATTTATTTATATATTTATTTATTGTTTTATTTATGCAGGAGGTTATGGATTTATTTACTCATTTATTTATATATTTATTTATGCAGGAATTTATGTATTTATTTACTCATTTATTAATTTGCATATTATTTTATTTATGCAGGAATTTAATGGATTTATTTACTCATTTGTTTATATATTTGCATGTTTATTTATCATTTTATCTATGCAGGAATTTATGGATTTATTTACTCAATTATTAATTTTTATTATAAAATAAATTATAAAATAAATTTTATTATTTTATTTATGCAGGAATTTACGGCTTTATTTACTTATTTATATATTTGCATTGTTATTTATTTATTATTTTATCTGCAGGAATTTTTTTTTATTTACTTATTTATTAATTTGCACATTATTTTATTTATGCAGGCATTTATGGATTTATTTACTCATTTATTTTTATATTTATTTATTGTTTTATTTATGCATGAATATATGGATTTATTTACTCATTAATTTGCATATTTATTATTTATTTATGCAGGATTTGATGGATTTATTTACTCGTTTATTGATATATTTGCATATTTATTTATTATTTTATCTATGCAGGAATTTATATACTCCTTTATTAATTTAAATATTTATTATTTAATTTATGCAGGAATTTACAGCTTTATTCACTCAATTGTGTATTTATTTATGTATAGTTTTCGCAGGATTGTCCTCCATAAATGTACACTGAGTTATATGATTTAATATAACAACGTGTGTGTTTGTGTGCATTTGTAAATTTGGGTGTTTTATACACGTTTAATCTATGATAAAATGTCCCTTTGTTATGTAGAAAGTTATATATATTAACAAATAAAAAATATATATATATTTAAAAGCACATGATCTGAAATAAACTCATTTAAGATATATATGATAATTGTGATGCATGTAAAGTGATATTTTACTTTGAACATATATTCTTGCAACTTTTATATAATTGTTAAATCCCTGATGAAGTGTGCCGTAAAACAAATAAATCCTGATCTTAAGTTAATGTATTTTATTCGAATGTCAAATAGTCTTTAATTATTTACAATTTTCTTGTTCTATGATTGAATAACTCCAGCTAATATAATCAAAGAAACTCAATTTATATAAATGCAAACTGCCCCCTATTGGTCAGTTATAAAACCAAGTGTTCTACTGAGAAAACCCTTAACACAGTTCTTTTAATAAAGCAATTAAAACACACACTGTATAGTACATCAATAGAATTAAAATCAAGGATTACCACAATATTCTAACAACGCAAGAATATTTGCATCAGTTTAATATACACTTTTATTAATGTGTTTTAATGTTAAAAGACGTACGAGTCTTTTAAAACAAACTGTTAATAAAAATAAAAATATTATCAAAATAAAAATATAAAAAATATCTTTTTTATATTATATTTATAATATATATATATATATATATATATATATATATATATATATATATATATATATATATATATATATATATATATATATATATATATATAAAATTTATTTAATAAATTGATATATTTAATAAAAATATATCAAAATACTTTTATAAAACATCCCACACTAAATACAGCCCTTAAATCTGTAATAAGACACAAACAATAATACTTTCAAGAAATTCTCTTCTGATAATCGGACTTAGCCAATAATGCGTATAAAATATTAATTTGTTTTGGCATTTTACCATAGACTCTAAAAAAATTTTAAAAAGCTCATGAACAAGTGATGTCACACGTTTTCACATACCAAAAATAATTAAATAAAAATAAGACATTTTAGTTGTCATGTTTTCTTTATTTTTCCACGTACTCTACATTTAAAACTCAACATGTGGACCTTCATTTCTTTGAGCGAACAGTCAAAGAGCACATATTCAGCTCTAAATATAGAGGAAAATCCAATAAAGGTGCATAGTACCAAATATTGCTAACAAGTAACACGAACTGGTCCAAAACCTAGAACACAGAAGATATAACGCAGCATTTCATGAGGGGGTTTTTTCCACAGAAAAAAGTTCATTCGAAGTCTTGAGTTTATTGCTTCAGACAGCATGGATTCTGCAGCAATGTTAATAGAAATCCCACACTGGAATGTTTCAGAAGAGAATGTTCCTCCAGCTTTTGAGTAAGGCACAGGAGATGTGTGTTGTGGTGAGAAAAAAAAAACCTTGAGACGTAGAAAGATTAAATAAGAGAAGCGGAATGGTCGAGATCTTCAGACAAGCCATGAAAAAGAGGACAAACTGCTGTACACTGCTGATGACCGTTCAGCTCACATTCCCATCCTGATGCTCTGAATGATCTGGAATATCGCTGGAGAAAGACAGAAAAATAAGATTAGAGAACTGAATATTTTACATTCGGGTCTTATTTATGCATTCCTATGTGTAGCCTCTATTATGCGGTGCAGTCTTGGGGTGCTTTCACACCTACACTTTTGTTTCGGAATGGTCTCGATTGCTCAGTTAGCGCGGTTCGTTTGGCATATGTGAACAGGGCAAACGAGTGATGATCTCCCGGTAATCTCGCGTCTCCCTCCCGGTCCTCAAATAGGCATCGTCGCGCACCCTTCTCACCCCTCCCCACAGCATCTCTCTTCAGACACGTCGTGCGCGCACCCTGTCAATCACCACCAAACCACCACCTCTCCTGACAGCTGAGCGGGACGCTGCAAAATAAACCCTGACACTCTGACCAATGTGAGGAGAGTTTACTCACACGTGACTTGTTTTAGCTCTTTTGGTCCGATTAGAAACTTTGCAGTGTGAAAGCGAACCGCTCCAAGAGCAAAGAGCAACAATAGCCCCTTTCACACATACAGACCTTTCCGGAAAATTGCCGGCAATTTTCCGGAAAGGTTGTATTTGTGAACAGGTCCTTTTTGAAAATACCGGTAAATTCGTTCTGGCTATTTTCCGGAAAGAGAAGTTGTAACATTACCGGCAATTTGCCGGAATGCTGCGCTGTGTGAATGCAGAAGGAAGATTCCCGTAATAAGCGCGTGCACGTCTAGAACGTGCTGACGTGAGACGTCTGCTCTAGCCAATCACAACAGTCAGACGCATTTACGTCCGCGCGGTTTGTGAGGATAAAAGCCTTTGAATATTTTTCCAGACACATTTAGCTGCTAGAAGTTAGTCAGATCACGTTTATATGTTCTTCTTAATGCCAACTGTGTAAATAATCATCGATGAGATGCTTATGATAAGCCGTTGTTTGTTTACGTTCGTGTGCCTGTGAAACAGCCTGTGAGCGCCTGCACACGCAAATATTATGAACATCTCGACATGCGAAAGTGATCCTGCGAAAGTTGTTCACAATATTGATCATCCACAGAGTTTGTAATTTAGTCAAATGTTTACAAATACAAGCGCAGCCGTTTAAAGCTCATTTGTGGTGAATGATGTCAGAATTTACCGGTATTTTGGAATGGATGTGTGAATGCTCTTTTCCGGAAAATTTCCGTAACGTCCTCGCCTGTGTGAACAGCGCTTTTTTCAATATACCGGTAAAGTCTTTCCGGAAATTTTCCGGATATTTACCGGTATCACTGTGTGAAAGGGGCTAATGTAACAATTGTAATCTCTGTTTCGGAACAACTGAATCGATTCACAGGTGTGAAAGCACCCTTAATCAGGATACAGGACTGTGTATTGACCAATTGTTGAGAGGAAATTCAATTTATAGGGATTTTAGAAGAAATTGCATGTTCGGGATACCCCCGGGATCCTTCAAACAAAATTCAAGGCCTTTAAAGACCTTTTTAATACCATTTCTAATGAAATTCAATGCCAACTAAGTACCCATTCAGTAGATTTACATACCATTCGGAAATATATTCTTGCGGAAGATTTCTTTCTATCAAGAAGTATCGCTATAAAGCCTGGTTTATACTTCTGCGTCAAGTGACCGGCGTAACCCACGGCGCAAGCAACACGCATGGCTGTGCATTTATACTTCTGTGCACTGTCTCTGTTGGTCTGCATTAACACTTCTGAAACGCTAGTTGGCAGTGAGGTGTAAATGTTCCTCTGTGTCGAGTTTCTTCGCTGCTGTTTTGCTTTTCCTAAACACTTCCAGGATGTACAAGTGGCTCAAACTCGCTCATTTTGAGGCAGGAACCAGCGGACGTGCAACAACTTTAACTATGAGGTAAACACAAAACAAAACTTTCCATCCGGAGCTCCTTTAAGGTACTCCACACTTGTAAACAATCGCTCCATCTGGCTTGCACCATTCGCGCAGCTCTCGGTCCCGCCCAGACTCGTCAGCGATACCAAGCCGACCAATCACAGATCTTGCGCTACGCGTTGTTGCAACGTGTATTTACATTTTTTGAGAGGTGCACGTCAGCGATGCCTACAGCCACGGCGAAGGGCTATGCGTCAGCGCCGTAGCATACGCCGGCGTTTGACGCACAAGTATAAATCAGTCTTAACAGCCGAGAGGAGAGGAAAAGTCACGTCAGGAGTCCAAATGGGCCACAGCGAGAGAGAAATAGAGTTTACTTCCATTCTCTCAATCGCAGTAAAGGAGGAGCTTCTGCTGTAAGTGTCAGTGAAAGACTATCCAGAAAACACACGCAGTGAAATTATACAGTTTCTGTGTTTTTAAGTAGTTGGAGTGTTGTAAGTTCTCGTGCTCGCCTCCCTCGCCATAGTAGCCAAAGCTACGGTGACGCACTTTCTGCAATGACATGGAGCTCGGGATGCACTCAACATCACGCTGCATGAATTTTAAAATTAGCCAACATTAGTAACAGTTAGTTTTGTTATTGTATGAACTTTAATCCTAGGAACGGCAAAAATAAATAAAATAAGACCTTTGTAACGGAATCTAAAACTTTGTATACCAACTTCAAGGCCATTAAGGCCTTAATTTGAGATGATCAAATTTAAGACTTTTTTTAATGCTTTTAAGACCCTGCGGGTACTCTGGCGTTAGTTATTTCTGTTTAACAATGAATTAATGCAAACGCACATGAAAAAGGTATAGTTTTAAAAACTTGCACTTTTAAATAAATATAGTGCGCATTAATTTCCCTTTATCAATGATCAAATATTATGAAACTAGCTTAATAATGACTTTAAAATACTTTATCAATATTGAGTAGGATGAAATGATAGTCATTTTAATGTTGTCTGTGGTCATATATGCAGTTTGTTACTTTAATAAACAGACTAACGAAACAAACTTATTGCTGATTGAGTATTTGAATAAAAAAATTAATCATTAAACTCAAATAATGATCACTTTAGTGTATTTCAATCCTGAAAATGTGTGTTTTTGGGTTGTAAACTCACCTGATCCACATACTACAAAGACAAACAAGGCAAGCAGCCACGGTCCCACCACTGCCTTCTCTTCTTGAGTGCCTCTCTGATGAGAAAATATGAATATTAGCACATTAATAAAGACTTAAACTACGTGTTAACGTGTCAAGAAAATAAATAAGGCCAAATAAACACATTAAACCTTATCTAATCAACGATAATAGTCGATTAAACAGCTACCCAGTGTGATCTAACATGAATATACAGGGCTAGCGTTTACAGCAACGCAAATAAAGCAGCAAAATAACATTTTACATCAAATAATCACCAAAGTAAGAGCCATAGATGGGTAAAAGCTGTGATTTACCGTGGATTTGGCCACATTTCCCCTGAGAGTGATGTTCTTGCTGTGTTTCTCGTTCGCCATGCGAATCCTCTGTTTGGCCACCATCTTTTAGGATTATTTAGTCGCTTTTAGAGCAAAACAATGAAGATCCAGGAGGCTTTGTGATCAGTTGACGTGTGATTTCGGACTGATGAACTGGTTTAGTCTACGTGTGCATATGAGAAACTCACTCCACCCACGAGACGTGGACGCTTTGAAAGAGAATAAAGGCGTCGCATGATTGACAAATAATGGGTGGAGCTTAACCCGCGCTTGAATTCCATTATTATTTATTTGTTTCTAATTTGGTCATTTTCAATGCACAACTTCTTGTTAATGAGTAATAAAGTTACGTACTGTCATTATTTATTGTGTAATTGATATCAAAGACGCTTTAATCATAGAGTTGCTATCGCGTGGTAAGTGATACTTTAATCATCGCTGAAGACGGGGAACCAATCATAGCTGTCGTTTATTTTTAGAAGAAATTAAATAAATAAAAAATATATATATTTGGTTTTTTTTTTATAATTAAATAAACGTTACTGACGAGAATATTCATACCGTCTATTGTTCATACATGTTAAAATGTTAATAATTAAAATAAATTGGGGATTTGAATGCATTTAAATTGACGGAGCGCTAACTTGAAGGAAGATTGTTTTTCATCGCAAATATATATTAACATGCCATAATGCATATTTTTGCAATATTTATTATCATTAATCATGGAAACATGATTTTAATCTACTATTCTAATATTATTTACTAAACTATTCGTATTTTTACGAACCTGTCCAACAAAATATAAATTATATATATTTTTAAAAACTATTCCATATTATGTTTAAAGACGAGACTTGTTTAATTTGCTTTGATATGTTACCATAGAGAGTAAAAAAAAGCATTTTACACGTCGTCAAATCATGAATCAGTGACGTCGGCGCAGAATTCTCTGACGTTACACGCTGTCGTACTTCCGTTTCAAAATGGCGCCCCCCACACCTCATTTAGCAGGTGAGTTGTCGCTCAAAAATGTGCATTTTAAGCTCATTTCATTGGCGTAAATATACATGATCAATGTGAGATGGCGATCATGTTATTTAATAACTCGCACGTCATGTATTCTCACGGTTTGCAGACATACACAGACATCGGCTCACTCATAAGTCTGTCATATGCGCCAGAAATGTTTAGTAACGTTATTTTGGACAAATGCACTATAAGCAATGTGAAATATTTCAAAATCTCTATTATATTAAGCCGCTGATTAAATGTATCTCTGTTGTGTATGTGTTTGTGCATGTAATAAGTTAAGAATAAACTGTTTGAAGCCAACTTAATAAACCAAACGTACTTTAAATTAGTTATTGAGGTAAAGTTTGTTTTATATTCGCACATTTGGACTTTCACCTTAATAATAAAATGTCGTAAATATATTCTTTGCTAAATCTAAATAGTGGAATCAAATTAGCAGCCAATTTCTATCAAAGTACACCAATATTCACAGTCAAATAGATAGTGCTGATGTTGTTTTGAAGTCGTAATAACCAGCTGTTTGGTAAACAAAGCATATCTCTCATATAATATATCTACTAAAAGACAGAAAAAATTACTTTATAATCTGTATTGTACTTAAATCATCAGTGTTGGGAGTACTGCGATACAAAAGTAATGTATTACAGTAACGCATTAGTTTTTCCCGTAACGCAGTAGTGTAAGGCATTACTAATACATTTTCAGTAATATTTTACTCGGTACATGTTCAGTAACGCGTGTGTTACAACAAACTTTTTGCCCACAATCCCATGTTAGAACCAGTTGTTTGTTAAACAAAGCAGGTCTCATATAATATAACTACTAAACGACAGAAAATATTACTTTACAAACTGTATTGTACATAAATCATATCAAAATTACTGTAATATTCAGTAATAATACTGAAATTAAAATAAAAACTGCATAAATAGCCTATATATTTACACACATTTACATAAGTAAAAAAGTAGATTGAATGATGGCTCAGCAATTGATTGAGGTAAAGTTGGTTTTATATTCACACTTTTGGACTTTCTCCTTAGTAATATAATGTCAGAAATGTATTCTTTGCTAAATCTAAATAGTGGAATCGTATTAGCAGCCAATTTCTATCAAAGTACACCAATATTTACAGTCAAATAGATAGTGCTGATGTTGTTTTGAAGTCATGCTTACATGTGATTTCAGACTGAATATCCAAAGTACCATGGTAAACAATATAGGGAGCAGGTCACAAGTTCTCACTGAATGAATGTGCTAATATAAAACCAACTTTACCTCAATAAATTAGTTAAAGGCAGGGCCTGACAGATTCTGATGAAATTGTTTGCTATTTATTTGCATAATTTTGTACAAAATCTACATATTTAAGCATGAATGGCTTTGAGAGTATAGTAACTACGTTTAATAAGCTTTTATTTCAGGTTATTAATGCAAATCCAATACTAGAACGAGCTGTTTGGTAAACAAAGCAAGTCTCTCATATAATATATCTACTAAAAGACAGAAAATATTACTTTACTATCTGTATTGTACTTAAATCATCAGTGTTGGGAGTACTGTGATACAAAAGTAATGTATTTCAGTAATATACATAATACATTTTCCTGTAATGCAGTAGTGGCATTATTAAAAAATATTACTAAGTAATATTTTACTCTGTACATGCTCAGTAACGTGTGCGTTACAACAAACTTTTCGCCCGCAAGACATTAACAAATAAAAAATAGCGCAGCTCTATTTCCTGTTTGTGGTTATGAATATACGTGTGTGTTGTCATTAATGCAAATTCCATATTAGAACCTGCTGTTTAGTAAACAAAGCAAGTTTCTCATATAACAAATAAGTGCTAAAAGACAGAACATATTACTTTACTTACTGTATTGTACATAAATGATATCAACAATAGTTTAGTGTTCAGTAATATTACTGAAATTAAAAACTGAATAAATTGCCCGAATATTTACACACATTTACATAAGTAAATAAATAGCATGAATGATGCGCTCAAACATCTATTAAGGTAAAGTTGGTTTTATATTTGCACATTCAAACTTCTCCTTAATAATATGATTTTATTAAAGTATTCTTAACAAATTCGAATGGTAAAATCATATTAGCAGCCAACGACTATCAAAATACAACATTGTTCTCAGGATTTAAGACTTTTTAATACATTTTGTTTTATTCCAAACAGTGCGAGGATCAGATGGTACGCTGCTGTTGCACGGACCTCCGAACTGTCAGGAAAGCTCTGCTTTTCAGAGGTCAGTTATTGCACTTTCTGTTTCATTTTCACACAAACACTTTGTTGCTTTATTATTTATAGATGCTTCTTAATATTAATAATAATAATAATAAATTTTTACAAAATGTATTAAAAATGTTGTTAAAAGTCAAAAGGGTACATTAAAAAAGGCTTATCAAAACATAAAAAATATTGAGATAATCACCTTTAAAGTTGCTCAAATTAAGATCTTTGCAATGCATATTACTAATCAAAGATTAGGATGGCATGGTGGGTCGGTGATTAGCACTGCATTTCTGTGTGGAGTTTGCATGTTGTCCCAGTTCATTCCACTGTGGCGACCTCAAAAATAGAGACTAGGCTGAAGGAAAATTAATAATGCATTGTTACTTTTGAGTTACTTCTTAATTGAATAGTTTTTTCTTCTTTTATTAAATAGAGAAGCTCTGCAATTAACAATATATACAACCTACACCTTCATTTACCTTTAAAAAAACACATAAAAATAATAATTTTTATAAAATAATGAGAGCAACTCAAATAGTAATACTTGTTTTTTTAAGTAATGCATTACTTGTTTCTTAGAAATGTATAAGACACTGATAATAACTATCATTTCTTTTCAGAGATGACCGGCAAGGCAGATACATGACGTTCAGCAATGATGGCACCTTGTTTGCATGGTGCAATGGCTCACAGTATGTATAAAGCATTGCAAATGTATTCATCAGTAAATATTAAGGATTGGTGTTTGTGTAAACCTCTGTCCTCTGTGTGTTTGGTAGGGTCACTGTGCTCAAAGTTCCCTCTGGAGATTTGGTGAAGTCTTTTGATTTACCGAAAACAACCGCTCTGGAGTTTTCACCTTTGAATAAAGTTCTGGCCACCTGGCAGCAATACACCAGTATGACCTTATAAAATATGATAAGATCTTATTCTGTCATCATTTACTCATCCTTCAGTGGTTACATGCCTGTTTGACTTTGAGAGGCCCTGCTGTTTAAAAAAACTAGCCTAGAGCGCCATCTGCTGTTTAAAAACTAGCCTAGAGCGCCATCTGCTGTTTAAAAACTAGCCTAGAGCGTCATCTGCTGTTTAAAAACTAGCCTAAAGCACTGTCTGCTATTAGAAACTAGCCAAGAGCTCTGTTAAAAACTAGCCTGGAGAACCATTTGCTGTTCAAAATAAGCCTAGAGCACCATCTGTTGTTAAAAACAAGCATAGATTGCCATCTGCTGTTAAAAAAGCCTAGAATGTCGTCTGCTATTCGAAACTAGCCAAGAGCCCAATAAAGCTAGCCTAGAGCACTGTTTACTGTGAAAAATTAGCCTAGAGTGACATCTGCTATTAGAAACTAGTCAAGAGCTCTGTTAAAAACTAGCCTAGAGCACTGCCTGCTTTCAAAAAGTATCCTAGAGTGGCATCTGCTGTTAAAAACTAGCCTAGATTGCTGTCTGTATTTAAAATATAGCCTAGAATGTTGTCTGCTGTTAGAAACTAGCCAAGAGCTCTGTTACTAGCTTAGAGCAATATCTGGTGTTCAAAACTAGCCTAAAGGGTCATCTGTTGTTAAAAACCAGGCAAAAGTGCTGTCTGCTATTAGAAACTAGCCAAGAGCTCAATTAAAAGCTAGCCTAGAGCACCGTTTGCTGTTAAAAACTAGCCTAGAGTGACATATGCTGTTAAAAAGTAGCCTAAAGTGCTGTCAGCTACTAAAAACTAGCCTACTGCTATTTGAAACTAGCCAAAAGCTCTGTTAAAAACTAGTCTAGAGAATCGCTTGCTGTTAAGAACTAGCCTACAGTGCCGTCTGCTGTTAAAATCTAGCCTAGAGCGCTGTCTGCTGTTAAAAACTAGCCCAGAGTAACATCTGCTGTTAAAAACTAGCCTAGAGAACTGTCTTCTATTAAAAACTAGACACTAAAACAAAAAAAAACCTAAGAACATTGTCTGCTATTAGAAACTAGCCAAGAGCTCTGTTAAAAAGTAGCCTAGAGCGCCATCCTCTGTTAAAAACTAGTCTTCAGCGCCATCTGCTGTTTAAAACCTAGCCTAGAGCGCCATCTGCTGTTTAAAAACTAGCCTAGAGCGCCATCTCCTGTTTAGAAACTAGCCTAGAGCGCCATCTGCTGAATAAAAACTAGCCTAGAGCGCCTTCTGCTGTTTAAAAACTAGCCTAGAGCGCCATCTGCTGTTTAAAAACTAGCCTAGAGCGCCATCTCCTGTTTAGAAACTAGCCTAGAGCGCCATCTGCTGATTAAAAACTAGCCTAGAGCGCCTTCTGCTGTTTAAAAACTAGCCTAGAGCGCCATCTCCTGTTTAAAAATTAGCCTAGAGCACCATCTGCTGTTTAAAAACTAGCCTAGAGCACCATCTCCTTTTTAAAAACTAGCCTAGAGCGCCATCTGCTGTTTAAAAACTAGCCTAGAGCGCCATCTCCTTTTTAAAAACTAGCCTAGAGCGCCATCTGCTGTTTAAAAACTAGCCTAGAGCGCCATCTTCTGTTTAGAAACTAGCCTAGAGTGCCATCTGCTGTTTAAAAACTAGCCTAGAGTGCCATCAGCTGTTTAAAAACTAGCCTAGAGGGCCATCTGCTGTTTAAAAACTAGCCTTGAGCGCCATCTGCTGTTAAAAACCAGCCTAGACCACCATCCGCTGTTAAAAACTAGCCTAGAGCACCATCCGCTGTTAAAAACTAGCCTAGAGCGCCATCTGCTGTTTAAAAACTAGCCTTGAGCGCCATCTGCTTTTAAAAACCAGCCTAGACCACCATCCGCTGTTAAAAACTAGCCTAGAGCACCATCCGCTGTTAAAAACTAGCCTAGAGAACCATCCGCTGTTAAAAACTAGCCTAGAGCGCCATCTGCTGTTTAAAAACTAGCCTAGAGCGCCATCTGCTGTTTTAAAACTAGCCTAGAGCGCCATCTCCTGTTTAAAAACTAGCCTAGAGCGCCATCTGCTGTTTAAAAACTAGCCTAGAGCACCATCTCCTGTTTAAAAACTAGCCTAGAGCGCCATCTGCTGTTTAAAAACTAGCCTAGAGCGCCATCTCCTGTTTAAAAACTAGCCTAGAGCACCATCTGCTGTTTAAAAACTAGCCTAGAGAACCATCTGCTGTTTAAAAACTAGCCTAGAGCACCATCTGCTGTTAAAAACTAGCCTAGAGCACCATCTGCTGTTTAAAAACTAGCCTAGAGCACCATCTGCTGTTAAAAACTAGCCTAGAGCACCATCTGCTGTTAAAAACTAGCCTAGAGAACCATCCGCTGTTAAAAACTAGCCTAGAGCGCAGTTAACTGTTAAAAACTAGCCTAGAGCGCAGTTCACTGTTAAAAACTAGCCTAGAGCGCTGTCTGCTATTAGAAACTAGCCAAGTGCTATGTTAAAAACTAGCCTAGAGAAACTAGAGCGCCATCTGAAGTTCAAATTATTTATTACCACAGCTCAAAATATTTAATTCTTATTTGAAAAAAGACATTCTGGAAGTAAGCTATCATCCTGGACCCCTTCGAAATGCATAAAACACTCTTTACAAATAAATAGCAATGTAGAGGAAACCACTTAATAGCAGCTTTATTTTTCAGAGACGCAGGATAACCCTCAAGGAGAAGCAAACCTGCAGCTTTGGGACTTGCAAACAGGCGCCTGCATGAAAGCTTTCTATCAGAAGAAGATGACAGGATGGTTCGTGACTTTTGATAAATAACATTCCCTTCTATATCAACATCTTCTGTTTTCTGATTTGTGTTTACTGGCATGAGGGGTGGGATCAAATTGTCATTTGCACTAATAGCAAACCATCTAATCAATCCCTATTGGACAAAACCAGACCCCGCCTACAATTGTTTGTAAAGCTGTTTCACTTGGTTTAACATCAAGATGGAGAGGAAAACACGATCACAACTTCTATTTCATGCTAACTTAGAGTTTTTGTATTATTGTCAGTGTATTTCTTTTCTGTCTGTAACTGTAAAACGTCTGTTTTTTTCACAGGTGTCCAAGCTGGGCAGACGATGAAAGTATTTCTGTTCGAAATGTCAATAATGAGCTTCACTTTTTTGAAAACAACAACTTTGGTGAGACATTGTTTGCTTTGTTTATTGTGCATGTTATGTTTTAAATGAGTGATAAATAGCATGGGCATGTTTATGTTCATTTGAATGTATAAAAGCTCACTATTTCTTTAAGAATTAACAACATTGTTTTTAGTAGTTTAGCTTTTTCTTGGTTGTTTTAATGAAATTCTGTTTCTGTATTCTGTTGAATTAATTTGGGATATGAACCTATTCTGTGTAGCCTGCAAGTAATGTGAATATACGGCTGACTGAATGATATGTGCAAAAAAGAAAAGAAATCACAGAAAAATAGATAATCAGCATAATAAATGTCAAATCTATTTCTTACAATCTTGTTTACTACAAAGCAGAAAGTTAATTGTTAATTTAAATTACTGTTATTGTCAATACAAAACATTACAAATCCATTAAGTATATGAATGAATGAATGATTTTCACAAATCTGAGGTACAATATACCCTCCCCTGCCACTTTATTAGGTACACCTGTCCAACTGCTTGTTAACGAAAATTTCTGAACAGCCAATCGCATGGCAGCAACTCAATCCATTTAGGCATGTAGACATGGTCAAGACGATCTGCTGCAGTTCAAACCGAGCATCAGAATGGGGAGAAAAAGGGATTTAAGTGACTTTGAATGTGGCATCGATTGAACGTGATGGGCTGGTCTTGAGTATTTTAGAAACTGCTGATCAACTGGGATTTTCACACACTACCATCTCTAGGGTTTACAGAGAATGGTCTGAAAAATAAAAATAAAACTCAGTGAGCGGCAGTTCTGTGGGCGCAAATGCCTTGTTGATCCCAGAGGTCAGAGGAGAATGGCCAGACTGGCTCCAGCTGATAGAAAGGCAACAGTAACTCAAATAAGCACTCGCTACAACTGAGGTCTGCAGAAGAGCATCTCTGAACACACAATACCTCCAACCTTGAGGCAGATGGGCTACAGCAGCAGAAGAGCACACCGGGTGCCGCTCCTGTCAGCTAAGAACAGGAAACTGAGGCTACAATTCACACAGACTCACCAAAACTGGACAATAGAAGATTGGAGAAACGTTGCCTGCTCTGATGAGTCTCCATTTCTGCTGCCACATTTGGATTGTCGGGTCAGAATTTGGTACCCACAACATGAAAGCATGGATCCATCCTGCCTTGTATCAGCGGTTCTGGTGGTGGTGGTGTAATAGTGTGGGGGAGATTTTTGTTGGCACACTTTGAGCTCATTAGTCCAACTAAGCATCGTGTCAAAGCCACAGCCTACCTGAGTATTGTTGCTGACCATGTCCATCCCTTTATGACCACAGTGTACCCATCTTCTGATGTCTACTTCCAGCAGGATAACGTGCCTTTTCATAAAGCGTGAATTATCTCAGACTGATGAACATGACAATGAGTTCACTGTACTCAAATGGCCTCCACAGTCACCAGAGCTCAATCCAATAGAGCACCTTTGGGATGTGGTGGAACGGGAGATTCGCATCATGGATGTGCAGCCGACAAATCTGCAGCAACGTGATGTTATCATGTCAATATGGAGCAAAATCTCTGAGGAATCTTTCCAGTATCTTGTTGAATCTCTGCCACGAAGGATTAAGGCAGTTCTGAAGGCGAAAGGGTGTCCAACCCGGTACTAGTAAAGCCTGATTTATACTTCTGCGTTAAGTGACCGGCGTAACCCACGGCGCAGGCAACGCGCGTAGCTGTGCATTTATACTTCTGTGCGCTGTCTCTGTTGGTCTGCATTAACACTTCTGAAACGCTAGTTGGCAGTGAGGTGTAAATGTTCCTCTGTGTCGAGTTTCTTCGCTGCTGTTTTGTTTTTCCTGAACACTTCCTGGATGTACAAGTGGCTCAAACTCGCTCATTTTGAGGCAGCAACCGGCGGACGTGCAACAACTTTAACTATGAGGTAAACACAAAACAAAACTTTCCATCCGGAGCTCCTTCACGGGACTCCACACTTGTAAACAATCGCTACATTGGGTTCGCGCGCGGCTCTCGGTCCCGCCCAGACTCGTCAGCGCTACCAAGCCAACCAATCACAGAGCTTGCGCTACGCGTTGTTGCGACGTGTAGTTACATTTTTTGAGAGGTGCACATCAGTGACGGCCACGGCGAAGGGCTATGCGTCAGCGCCGTAGCATATGCCGGTGTTTGACGCAGAAGTTTAAATCAGCCTTAAGGTGTACCGAACAAAATGTGTATAGCCTAGAGTGTGTACATAAAATTATATTGATAATTGTATGACAATACATTAAGTATAAACACTGATTCTGTAGGTTAAAAACAACAATTACTGGAATTATATTCTATTACTTTATTAATACATTGTACATAAATAATAATAAAAAAAATTTTGAAAAAATATTTGTCTTAAAATCATGCCACAAAACAGGATTTGTCAAGGAAATTCTAGTCTGAATCATTATATCACCCAACCATAAATAAAAATTTAAGAATTTAGACTAGTTAAAAACAAATTCAAATGCTTGAAACACTCGTTGAGTTTGCAATCTGTGCTATTTTTTTTTTTTTATTGTGCAGAAGTTATTGCCAACAAGCTTCACCTACAGAAAGTGTCTGAGTTTGCTCTGTCTCCTGGATCACAGCCGAGCAAGGTATCAGAAAACATTCACAGATTCCCGCTTAATGCAGTTGGTTTAGTCACGCAGATGTACAATAATCTCTCTGGTGTTTCTTAAGGTTGCCGTTTATGTTCCCGGAAGCAAAGGAGCTCCGTCTTTTGTACGTCTGTACCAGTATCCCAATTTCGGAGGTCCTACATGTGCTCTGGCAAACAAGAGCTTTTTCAAGGCTGATAAAGTCAACATGCTGTGGAACAAAAAAGGTAGATTATTGTTTTTATTGTGCCCCTTTATGCAAGATGTAAAATAAGAGTGTCCCTAGAGAGTGTGTGTGTGAAGTTTCAACTCAAAACTCTACACAAATAATGTTTCTAACTCTTTGAAACTAACCCTTTTAGGCTTTGATCATAATTGTGCCGTTTTGGTGACTGTCGCTTTAAATTCAAATGAGATGAGGGCATTCAAATTCAAAAGAGGGCGGAGCTACAACTGACTGTCAGCATAGTGGCTGATTAAAAACAGGACTAACATTATCTGAAAAACATGTCTCAGAAGACGTCTATAATACATGTTTTTCAGTAGATACGGTATGCTAATGAAGGAGAGATCATCACTAATGGGCGGGGCTTTCCCTCTGATGACACATACGAAGGGAGAATGTCAATCAAAGTGTTTCTGCAGACTGTTATAATCAAGTGTGATGATAAAAAATAAAGTTAATTAATTTTTACCATTAGAGGCTGGATATATTCACACAATGTTGCCTCACATTAGACCCTTTATGGAAGTGATTTTTGCTTAATAGAGGTTTTCACGTACGCATTAATGCTTTGCATTGTCTTCCAAAGCCACTGCAGTTCTTGTCACCGCCAGCACAGAGGTGGATAAAACAGGAGCCTCTTATTATGGAGAGCAGACGCTACATTACGTCGCCACCAATGGAGAAAGTGCTGTCGTTCAGCTACGTAAGTAACATATTAAGTTAGTAATTAACTACTAGGGCTGCACAATATATTGTTTCAGCATCAACATCGCAATGTGCACATTGTCTGCAATGTGAATTCACTTTTAGTTCAGTTTTAGTTTATTAGGAAATGTGAGTAGGGCTATATATACAGTTAAAGCCAGAATTATTAACCCTCCCCTGTTTATTTTTACCCCAATTTCTGTTTAACAGAGAGAAGATTTTTTTCAGCACATTTCTAATCATAATAGTTTTAATAACTCATCTCTAATAACTGATTTATTTACTCTTCGCCATGATGCCAGTAAATAATATTTTACTTGATATTTTTCAAGACACTTCTATACAGCTTAAAGTGACATTTAAAGGCTTAACTAGATTAATTAGGTTAACTAGGCAGGTTAGGGTAATTAGGCAAGTTATTGTATAACGATGGTTTGTTCTGTAGACTATCGAAAATTAATTAGCTTAAAGGGGCTAATAATTTTGACCTTAAAATGTTTTTTTTAAAAATTAATACTGCTTTTATTCTAGCCGAAATAAAAAAAACAAATAAGACTTTCCAGAAGAAAAAATATTATCTGACATACTGTGAAAATTTCCTCGCTCTGTTAAACATAATTTGGAGAAAAATAATGAAAAGGGGGGCTAATAATTCTGACTTACACTGTATCATAAAACATTGTGGAGCCATTGTGAAGTTTAACCTTGATAGAGTGTTGATTTTAAGGCTCATGACTGAGATTTCAAGTGTGTTTAAACCGTTTGTAAGAAGTTATATAAAATTTGTAGTAGATTAATTCCAGTTATTTTTTAATACAATGACGACTACACCGTGTCATTTATTTACATTTGATTATTCAATTTCTGTACATGAATGCAGTTAGACTCTCCAGAAAAACAGAATATGCAGATGGTCTGTCCTACGAAATCCCAATCGATATCAAATTCTGAATTCTTACCAAAATTAGCTATTCAAGTCATCTGGGGCCTCATGTATCAACGCTGCGTACGCACAAAAACTTTGCGTACGCCAGGTTTCACGCTCAGAATCGCTCACGTTTGGATTTACTAACAATAAACTGAACGTGGGAATGTGCGCAGCTTCACGGCAGCTTTCTGGCAGGCGTGCGCACATTTTTTGTGCGTGTCTGTTTTATTTCCATTGGCGACTCCTAAAGGCAGTTGTGTTAAATTCCTCTCTACAAAGTGTCTGAGCCTTGCAATGGCAGCTGTATGAGACGGGTTTAGCAGGTATATAAGGTTTCCATACCATACAGTTGACCAGCTAAACATTAAAGCACAATTTGCAGCGGTCGCCGGTTTTCCCAATGTAATCTTAGCGATCTACTGCACACACATTGCTATAAAGACACTATCTGAAGATGAATTTGCATGCGTGAATCAGAAACATTTCCATTCAATAAATGTGCAAATAAAATATGATGCTTATTGATATGAACTTATTGATGATTCCTACTTGTCTTTCTCGTGATAAATAGTTGGCAAAATCTGATATGTAGCGGGGGAAAAAACAAGAAAGAGTTCATTAGACGCTGGATTCGAGCCGCGTTCATGCTCGAACGTGTCAAATCATGATCACATGCGTCTTACGAGTAGCGCCACTGAGTCTGGTAAGCGTCCTGCAACATTTTACAGATATAAACCACACTATTTCTTTTTTTTAATGCATTCAGTGCGATGTTCAGACCCAACTGTGTTAACCGCATCAGCTAAACTCTCCCACTCTATTTTTTTCTTTTGTTGTTAATTCCGGAGAACAAACTTGCAAATAACACCACTTTTCTCCGGTCTACCTCCGAAAGCAGCACCTCCAATTCACTTTCTGTTCAAAGTTTCTCTTTTTGCTTGCTTTTTCGTTGGGTTTTGCCATTAGCATAGTCATTAGCATATTCATACGGGGGAGGAGGCAGGGAGGGGTTTTGTGCTCGTGCATGTTGCGCTCAGTTTCACGTTCATTCGGATGTACAAAAGAATATGCGTGAGATTCGGCGTACGCAGTGTTTCATACATCTGAAATTTTTTCTGCGTACGCACATTTACAGCTTTGTGCGTACGCAATGTTTTAGTAAGATTTCCACGCAAGTCTTCGTACATGAGGCCCCAGGTCTAGTTGTAATCCATTATGAAAGGACTTTAGTGGTAATAGTTTTCATTTTTTCAGCACGATAATGATAATTGCTGTGAAATCCTATTTGGAGAAAGAAAACAGCCGATAAAACGTCCACATGTGTCCAGACCTGAATATGATTGAGGCTGTATGAAAACACCTGGACAGAAAAAGAAAGATAAGACACTCTAAACCTGAAGAAGAACTCTGGAAAGTGTTATAAGACGCCTGATATTAATACACAGCACATTATTTCAGAAAATCTCAGGAAAATTAGAAGAAAACCTTGTGCTTGGTGCCAAGGGAAGCCACATTAAACATAGACTTTTGCTTGAGGAGGAAACGTTGTGCTGTTGTTGTTTTTTTGTACATATTTTCTATATTTTCTGTTGTTTTTAATAAGACATTGATCGATTATGTATTGTGCAAAAGTCTTAGGCCAACAAAGCTGGAATGGACCATTTTGAAGACTGTAAACAATAACAATGGTCCTAATGTATTCCCTTTAATACATTTTGAATTTCCATAGCTTCTAAGAATCCAAAAAGGTCCATATGTTGATCAATAATGTTATGGCAGCCATTTTAACATTAGGATATGAATAAATTGCCTCTTGTAACAGTAAATAAATACTGGGTGGGCCGTTTATATGGATACACACTAATAAAATGGGAATGATTGGTGATATTAATGTCCTGTTTGTGGCACATTAGTATATGTGAGGGGGCAAACTTTTCAAGATGGGTGGTGACCATGGTGGCCATTTTGAAGTCGGCCATCTTGGATCCAACTTTTGTTTTTTTCAATAGGAAGAGGGTCATGTGACACATCAAACTTATTGGGAATTTCACAAGAAAAACAATGGTGTGGTTGGTTTTAACGTAACTTTATTTTTTTATGAGATATTTACAAGTTTCTGACACTTATAACATGTGTTCAATGTGCTGCCCATTGTGTTGGATGGTCAATGCAACCCTCTTCTCCCACTCTTCACACACTGATAGCAACACCACAGGAGAAATGCCAGCACAGGCTTCCAGTTTCCGTAGTTTCAGGTGCTGCACATCTTGTGTCTTCACACCATAGACAATTGCCTTTAGATGGTTCCAAACATAAAAGTCTAAGGGGGTCAGATCGGGAGACCTTGGGGGCCATTCAACAGGCCCACGACGACCAATCCACTTTTCAGGAAACTGTTCATCTAGGAATGCTCGGACCTGACAACTATAATGTGGTTGTGCACCATCCTGCTGGAAAAACTCAGGGAACGTGCCAGCTTCAGTGCATATAGAGGGAAACACATCATCATGGAGCAATTTGAAATATCCAGTGGCCTTGAGGTTTCCATTGATGAAGAATGGCCTCACTATCTTTGTGTCTATGGTGTGAAGATTCAAGATGTGCAGCACCTGAAACTACGGATACTGGAAGCCTGTGCTGGCATTTCTCCTGCGGTGTTGCTATCAGTGTGTGAAGAGTGGGAGAAGAGGGCTGCATTGACAATCCAACACAATGGGCAGCACATCGAACACATGTTATAAGTGGTCAGACACTTGTAAATAACTCATGAAAGAATAAAGTTACGTTAAAACCAAGCACACCATTACTTTTCTTGTGAAATTCCTCATAAGTTTGATGTGTCTTCCTATTGAAAAAACAGAAGTTGGATCCAAGATGGCCGACTTCAAAATGGCCACCATGGTCACCACCCATCTTGAAAAGTTTGCCCCGTTACATATACTAATGTGCCACAAACAGGACGTTAATATCACCAACCACTCCCATTTTATTAAGGTGTATCCATCTAAAAAGCTCATCCTGTAGTTTGCTAACAAGCAGGAAATCCCTGCTGAAAAATCCAGCTTAAACCAGCCTAGGCTGGTTGGCTGGTTTTAGCTGGTCGACCAGGCTGGTTTTAGAGGGGTTTTGGCCACTTCTAGGCTTGTTTCCAGCCATTTCCAGCCTGGTCTAGCTGGTCAGGCTGGGACATGACCAGCTAAAACCCTCTTGACCAGCCTAGCCAAGCTGGGAGTCCAGCCAAAACCAGCTATATCCAGCTTAAACCAGGCTGGTCAAGCTGGTTTTAGCTGGATTTAGCTGGTCATTTTCCAGCCTGACCAGCTAAGACCAGGCTGGAAATGGCTGGAAACCAGCCTGGAAATGGCCAAAACCCCTCTAAAACCAGCCTGGTCGCCCAGCTAAAACCAGCCAACCAGCCTAGGCTGGTTTAAGCTGGATTTTTCAGCAGCGATGTTCAGGACATCACCACACTGAAATGGTCTATAGTGCTTGGGACTTTTGTACAGTACTCCATATCTCGGTGTCATGTCAGTTTTTCCAATATCGTGCATCCCAAATAACTACCATGAGTAAAATAATACTTTTGATGTCTTTTCCAGCAAAGAACGGCCCCATATATGACGTATCCTGGAGCCCCAACTCTACTGAGTTCTGTGTGGTTTATGGTTTTATGCCCGCCAAGGCCACCGTATTCAACAACAAGTGTGAGTCTGTGTTCGATTTCGGCACCGGCCCTCGAAATGCTGCTTTCTACAGTCCACAAGGCCACATCCTGGTCCTCGCTGGCTTTGGAAACCTGAGAGGACAGATGGAAGTTTGGGATGTAAAGAAATACAAGCAAGTGTCCAAACCCCAGGCTGAAGACACCACACATTTCTCCTGGTGTCCCGACGGGGAACATATAGTCACTGCGACCTGCTCACCCAGACTGCGAGTCAGCAATGGCTATAAGATCTGGCATTACACCGGGACTGTGCTGTACAAGCATGAAACGCCTTCCGGCAAAGAGCTCTGGGAGGTTTTGTGGCAGCCGTTTCCAGCTGGAGTGTTCCCGGAGCGGGCCGTCAAATACCAGGCTTTGCCGAGTGAGCTGGGCAGCACTGAAGCCAAACCAGCGCAGGCGTATCGACCTCCGGCTCTACGCAACAAACCGCAGACCGCCAGCTCTAAACTAGTGAGTTTAGTTTATGTTAAATGTCAAATGTTAAAAAGTCACATGTAAAAATAGAAACAAAACATAATATTACACTATTATTAACACCTACTGGTCACTTTATTAGGTACCTCTTACTAGTACCGGGTTGGACCCCTTTTTGCCTTCAAAACTGTTTTAATCCTTCGTGGCAGAGATTCAACAAGGTACTGGAAATACTCCTCAGAGATTTTGCTCCATATTGACATATCGGCTGCACATCCATGATGTGAATCTCCCACCACATCCCAAAGGTACTCTATTGAATTGAGATCTGGTGACTGTGGAGGCCATTTGAGTACAGTGAACTCATTGTCATGTTCAAGACACCAGTCTGAGATGATTTGCACTTTATGACATGGGACGTTATCCTGCTGGAAGTCATCAGGGGTCACTGTGGTCATAAAGGGATGGACATGGTCAGTAACAATACTCAGGTAGGCTGTGACGTTGACAGGATGCTCAACTGGTACTAATGGGCCCAATATGTGTTAAGAAAATATTCCCCACATCATTACACCACCACCACCAGCCTGAACTGTTGATAGAAGGCAGGGTGGATCCATGCTTTTATGTTGTTGAAGCTAAATTCTGACCCGACCATCCGAATGTGGCAGCAGAAATGGAGACTCATCAGAGCAGGCAACGTTTCTCCAATCTTCTATTGTCCAGTTTTGGTGAGCCTGTGTGAATTGTAGCCTCAGTTTCCTGTTCTTAGCTGACAGGAGCGGCACCCGGTGTGGTCTTCTGCTGCTGTAGCCCATCCGCCTCAAGGTTGGAGGTATTGTGTGTTCAGAGATGCTCTTCTGCAGACCTTAATTGTATCGAGTGCTTATTTGAGTTACTGTTGCCTTTCTATCATCTGGAACCAGTCTGGCCATTCTCCTCTGACCTCTGGCATCAACAAGGCATTTGCGCCCACAGAACTGCCGCTCACTGCATATTTCCTCTTTATTTAGACCCTTCTCTGTAAACCGTAGAGATGGTTGTGCGTGAAAATCCCAGTAGATCAGCAGTTTCTGAAATACTCAGACCAGCCTGTCTGGCACCAACAACCATGCCACGTTCAAAGTCACTTAAATCACCTTTCTTCCGCATTCTGATGCTCAGTTTGAACCGCAGCAGATCATCTTGACCATGTCTACCTGCCTAAATGCAGTGAGCTGCTGCCATGTGATTGGCTGATTAGAAATTTGTGTTAACGAGTAGTTGGACAGGTGTACCTAATAAAGTGGCCGGTGACTGTACATAAATTCACAAACACAAGTAAGAATAAGAAAAGGAGATAAAGCAGAATTTTTATCTTGTTTCTAGTCCAAATATGCAGAAATTCTTAAATTTCGCCCCAAATATTGCACCCCAAAATTTTGTAAGAATCAAAAATAGGATTAAATTCAGCCACAGATTTGGGGCAGGGTTATGAATGTAGAGAAATATGACAATATTATTTCTTTGACAGCATGAAGAGGAGCCGCCGCAGAACATGAAACCTGGCGCCGCTGGAGAGAAGCAACCGTCTAAAGCTGCTTTGAAGAACCAGAAAAGGCGAGAAGCAAAGAAAGCAGCTAAACAGGTACCTGTGATTTGAGGATTTGTGTATTTAGTGTAAACCGTACTGAGGAATATTTTAAGAGATGCTCTCTGTAAATACAGGAGAACAAGCCTGATGAAGCTCCACCTCCAGCAGCAGACCCCGCCCCCGTCAGTCATGTGACTTCAAGCTGTGGAGACCCAGAAACGGACAAGAAGATCAAGAATTTAAAAAAGGTGATCTGATTTGATTATGTACAGTATGACCATTCATTCATTTTCCTTCAGCTTAGTCTCTTTATTCATCAGGGGTCACCACAGCGGAATAAACCGCCAACTCATCCAGCATATGTTTTACACTGCGGATGACTTTTCAGCTGCAACTCAGTACTGAGAAACACCCAAACACTCTCACATTCACACTCATACACTACGGCCAATTTTGTTTATTCAATTCACCTATAGTTTAGTATAGTAGCGCATGTGTTTAGACCATGCATGTCCAAACTCTGTCCTAGAGGGCCGGTGTCCTGTAAAGTTTAGTTCCAACCCCAATCAGACACTCCTGGGCTAGCTAATCAAGCTCTTACTAGGCTTTCTGGAAACATCCTTGCAGGTGTGTAGAGGCAAGTTGGAGCTAAAATCTGCAGGACACCGGCCCTCCAGGATTGAGTTTGGACACCCCTGGTTTAGACTGTGAGGGAAAGCGGAGCACCCGGAAGAAACCCACGCCAACGCGGGGAGAACATACAAACTCCACACAGAAATGACAACTGACCCTGCCAGGACTCAACCCAGCGACCTTCTTGCTGTGAGGCCACAGTGCTAACCACTGTGTCGTCCTATGTATGACTAAATAGTTAATAATTATATAAAATGTGAAAAGTGTAAAGGGAAAGTAAAACATATTTAGTTTACTCTTCACTTGAACTTTTATTAGGCTTTATTTGATTTTAGTAATTTTAATATAGAGATTTTATTATTATTCATTATTTTTTATCAATGTTTTCCCCATCTTTCATTCATTCAGTCATTTTCTTTTTTTTTTTTTATAATTATTTTTTAGGGGCTTTTCACCTTTATTTTGATAGGACAGTAGAGAATTCGGACAGGAAAGCACTGGGAGCAGAGAGAGGGAAAGGATCGGCAAAAGACCTCGAGGCGGGAATCGAACCCGGGTCACCACGAGCACACTGGTGCTATATGTCAGCACGCAGTACCTCTAGGCTACAGGCGCCGACATTCATTCATTTTCTTGTCAGCTTAGTCCCTTTATTAATCCGGGGTTGCCACAGCAGAATGAACCGCCAACTTATCCAGCTAATTTTTACGCAGCGGATGCCCTTCCAGCCGCAACCCATCTCTGGGAAACAACCACACACACATTCACACACACACTCATACACTACGCACAATTTAGCCTACCCAATTCACCTGTACCGCATGTCTTTGGACTTGTGGGGGAAACCGGAGCACCCGGAGGAAACCCACGCGAAGGCAGGGAGAACATGCAAACTCCACACAGAAACGCCAACTGAGCCGAGGTTCGAACCAGCGACCTTCTTGCTGTGAGGCGACCTACTGCGCCACTGCCTGGCCCTCCCCATCTTTATTATCTATTATTTATATTTAACATTTTATTTATACAACAATTAGCTGTTTGAGTAAATAGTCTAAAAAATGTATTTGTACTATACTATATATATATATATTCTTCTTCAATGTTTTAATGTAATAATGTGATTTTTCTGTTTATCTGGCAGAAACTCAAAGCCATTGATGAACTAAAGGAGCAGCAGGCTGCCGGAAAAGTCATGCAAAAAAACCAGGTACCACCTTTTTATTGTTATGTTTTTATATGCTACCCGACAAAGTCTTGTCGTCTATAAATTTTTAATAAGTTGACTTCTAGTTGATCAATTGGTGTCAGAAGTGGCTTAAATTCAATTAAATTCAATTCATGTTTATTTTTTAAGTGATTTTACTATGTAGATTGTGTCAAAGCCGCTTAACATAGAAGTTTTAGTAAAGTCCAGTTTTCAGATATGATAAACAAAGGCCTCTAGATTACACTTTTTTTTTACCAAAATAAAATATGATCATGCCTTGATTTAGCTTTCATAAGACCTTCATAACATGCTAAAACCATAATTATAACATTTCCCCTTTTTTACAGCTTGAGAAGATGCAGAAGGAGGCCCAGCTGTTGAAAGAGCTTGAAGACCTTGAATTAGGATTATAAACTCACTGTACCAGTTTTCTCCATTGGTCATCATTGGTTTCCAAGCATTGCTTTGTCATACTCTCATTAAAATGAATGGAGATGTTTTTCTTCATGTCCAATAAACAACAGCCTGTTTTGCTTATTTGTTCATGGCTAGAAATTAAGGACTACATTCTTAAAAGCAATATTGCTATGCAATGTGACGTACAGCACAAAGAAACACCTTGCAATGCGAAATAAAAATGTAGAAATTCAAACGGCGTGACTTTTATTATGCCGGTTGGGGCAGCCGGAAATGTTCCTTTCTCCGCCAGTGTGAAACTAAAGCAGCCACAGATTTCAGCACAACGCAGCTGAAATTGGTAACAAATAAACCGAACGGGACAAGCTAAAAGCAGCTGATATTTCAGGTTTGATGAGAAAACACTGCATTATGACTAGTTTCCTGTTTGTGGGGTGTTTTGTCGAGTGTTTATTCGTGATATTTAGATGAGCCGGTGAGCTACTGTTCATGTATGTTCATTTATCACATGCGTGTGTTTGTTTTTACTCAAACTGTCGGATGTTTTGACGATGTTTCGCTTTTTATACCTGTATAAACATATTTTAGACGATTTTAGACGTTTAGAAGAGTTTCAGGCTTTGGGTATGAAGCAGTTCAGCCATTTCAGAAACCACAAAGCGAAGCTTTTAGGCTCATACGTAACGTACATCGGGTTTTGTATCCGACAGTTGCTTGTATAACAAACCTTTAAACTTTTCCACATACATCAAACATTGCATTAATTGAGGGATTTACTACTGGAATTATATCTATGTGCCTTATTATTATTTCAATACTTTTTGAAAAAAATGAATATAAGATCAGTTATGTATGTGCTAATTTATTTATATATGTTATCAAACTGATGTTCACCGTTTACACATAAAACAATCAGACTTAAATTAAGTTTTAATAAAAATGTTTACCTAGCATTACTTCTAATACATTTTTAATAATTAGATTTTTTTCTTTCATAAGAAATGTCCTTGTCAAATCTTGTAACGTGTAAGTCGTGTATCCTACATTTGTTTGCATTATAACAAACCTTTAAACTTTTCCACATTATTCAGACATTGCATTAATGAAGGGAATTATTACTGAAAGATTAACTTCATCTATGTCTCCCTTATTATTATTTAAACAGTTTGAGAAATTAAATACTAAATCTGTTGTTCAGTTATATATGTTATCAAACTGATGTTCACTGTTACACATAAAACAATCTGACTTAAATCAGCATTAAATAAAACGTTTACCTAGCATTATTTCTAATAGATTTTTAATAATTCAATGTTTTTTTTCTTTCATTCTTTCTTAAAAAATGTCCTTGTCAAATCTTGTAATGTGTAAGTCTTGTATCTTACATTTATATGTAGCAAACCTTTAAACTTTTCTGTAAAAATCAAACATTGCATTAATTGAGGGATTTACTACTGAAAGATTAATTGTATCTTTGTGCGGTTTTGGTATTTAAATACATTTTGAATAATCTAAATCAATAAATAAATAGTTTTGTATGTACTAGTTCAGTTGCTTGTATAACAAACCTTTAAACATTTCAACATACATCAAACATTGCATTAATTGAGGGATTTACTACTGGAATTATATCTATGTGCTTTATTATTATTTCAATACTTTTTGATAAATTTCAATATAAGATTAGTTATGTATGTGCTAATTCATTCATATACATTATCAAACTGATGTTCACTGTTACACAGTAAACAATCTGACTTAAATCAGCATTAAATCAAAACGGTTACCTAGCATTATTTCTAATAGTTTTTTAATTATTAGTTTTTTTCTTTCATGAGAAATGTCCTTGTCAAATCTTGCAACTTGACTTGTATCCTACATTTGCTTGTATTATAACAAACCTTTAAACTGTTCCATATAAATCAGACATTGCTTTAATAAAGGGATTTATTATTGAAAGATTAAATTTATCTATATCTTCATTATTAGTATTTAAACAGTTTGAAAAACTAAATACAATATCTGTGGTTCAGTTATACATGTTATCAAACTGATGTTCACTGTTACACATAAAACAATCAGACTTAAATCATGTTTTAATTAAAATGTTAACTGTTTATCATTAGTATTTATAATACATTTTTAATAATTTGCTTATTTTCTTTTTTAGGAAATGTCCTTGTCAAATGTTGTCACTTGAAAGTTTTGTATCCTGCATTTGTTTGTATTATAACAAACCTTTAAACTTTTCCATATAAACAACCGTTACATTAATTGAGGAATTTACTTCTGAAATATTAATTATATCTATATGCAATATTAGTATATAATTCAATTTAAAAAGAAATCCTGTATGTACTAGTTCATTTATATACATTACCAAACTGATGTTCATTGTTGCACTTTAAAAATCTTGCTTAAATCAGCATTAAATTAAAATGTTTACATAACAACGTCAACTTTTATAATAGGTTTGAATAAACTGATGATTTCTAGTTAAATGACTAATGCACAACACATCTATCTATCATTTAAATTCATTTTTAAACATCAGAACAGTAAGAATAAATATCCTTGTCAAGTCTAGTAACACGTAAGTTGTTGTATTATAACAAACCTTTAAACTTCTCCATATAAAAAAAAATACATTAATTAAGGGGTTTACTACTGAAATATTAATTATATCTATTTATGTTATCAGTATTTAAAACATTTTAAAAAATCTAAATAAAATATCAGTTATTCATTTATATTCGTTATCAAACTGATGTTCTTCGTTACACACACATATTATGACTTAAATTAGCTTTTAATTGTTTACCCAACATTATTATGTTGGCTTGAGAAAGCCAACATACTGTAATGCTACTTAAACTTATTCTTATTATTATGTTGGCTTGAGAAAGCCAACATACTGTAATGCTACTTAAACTTATTCTTATTATTATTCTTATTATTATTCCGGCTTCTGACTCAAAAAAGCAATCGCTTCTCCTCCCAGGGCTTAGATGCTACAAGCCCCAAATTTGGTCAAAAGCTGCCTACTGCTCATGAGATGGTTGCTGTATGTCCTCATGCCGATAAGATTTGTAGTTTTTGAATAAATAATTTTTTAATTAAAAAATTGTATCGAGTATTTGGAGCATATAAAAAAGTATACAATCCTCAAATTTGGCCAAAAGATGTGTTTGAAATTACTGATAATTGTCATATTTATTTGGTGTAATTATAAATAACAGTTTTCCTATAAATATTTTTTTTTATATTAAATTTGTAAAATGCAAACAAAAAGCTTGTCAGAGTGTCCACGAGATGGCTCCAGAGAACCATTTTTGAGCCCTTTGTAATTTAGTACTGGCCCTTTAAGAGGCACTGCTCCTTTAAGAGGCGGAGATATCCGGAGTTATCCGTGCTGACTCCTCTACTTGTGATAATGAAAATGAAAGCCATGCGAACATTCACGTATATTATACAATAAACATATTGAATATAAAATCATTCTAACTTTATTTTTCATCTGTATTTAACCCTCTAAAACAGCTATGTCCTTGCCACAAAACTAATAATCCATCTTCAAAACCTACAATTTCTTTCCATTCGGTCCGGTCGGACCTGAACATCTTTATACCGTTGTAATCACGTGTAAATTCTAACAAAGACAATGTTTGCACTTTTTAAATCACATTTTATTTATTGTGCAAAAATAAAACATCCAAACAGCATCATAACCAATAAAAACACACAGCAAAGAAAATGTATTTTAAAATAGTGAATATATATACATACAATGTATGGAGATTTTTTATATCCCCTTAATATGCTCTGCTGTTGCTACATCAATTTCTCTCTGTAACATCTGGATTGCAATTTACACTGCAATGTTCACAATTTATTATTATGGGGGGAAAATCCAAACAGTATTATAATGTTTTAAAGCAAAAATGTTAAGAACAATTATTTACAAACAGTGAAAATAAAGTGTGTGTATATACATATATATACATACAGTTGAAGTCAGAATTATTAGCTCCCCTGTTTATTTTTTCCCCAATTTCTGTTTAATGGAGGGAAGATTGTTTCAGCACATTTCTAAGCATAATAGTTTTAATAACTCATTTCTAATAACTTCTTTATTTTATCTTTGCCATGATGACAGTAAATAATATTTGACTTGATATTTTTCAAGACACTTCTATACAGCTTAAAGTGACATTTAAAGCCTTAACTAGGTTAATAAGGTGAACTAGGCAGGTTAGGGTAATTAGGCAAGTTATTGTATAACGATGGTTTGTTCTGTAGACTATCAAAAAAAATTGCTTAAAGGGGCAAATAATTGTGTCCCAAAAATAGTTTTTAAATAATTAATAACTGCTTTTATTCTAGCCGAAATAAAACAAATAAGACTTTCTCAAGAAGAAAAAATATTATCAGACATACAGTGAAAATTTACTTGCACAGTTAAACAAAATTTGGGAAATATTAAAAAAGGGAAAAAAAAATCAAAAGGGGGTTAATAATTCTGACTTCAACTGTATATATGTATGTATATATATACATACATACATATATACATATATACATATATAACACATACACACATTTATGGTTAGGGTTATAAGGATTATTTCTTAATCCCCCTTTTATGTTAGCAAAAACATAAGTTTACTTCAGATATTTCTTTCAAAACAATATTCTGTGCCGCAAAAGAGCCTTCTCCTCACTTGTGATAATGACAATGAAAGCCAAGCTTTTGGCCTATGCTGTACCAAAAAAAAAATAAAATCACCCAGGTGATGACAACTAAATATTACGATTATAACATTGTGTTAGTGGCCAGTGGGGTGGAACAACGTCATTGGTCCGAATTAACCACGTGATGAAGACGTCCTATAATATTGTATTTAATGCGATTTTCTTCCTGTAAACTGTATATAACTATATAACTATAACGATATATATATAATGCTGCAAATTACTGTAAATTGACTGTACTCTATATTAACTGCAAAAATTATAAGACTGATTAAGTAAAAGACAAATTAACTAAATGTATGTGCTATTGTTTCATTAGTGTTTTAATTTAATATTTTTCTTTATATGA